GAAAATTCTCTTTCTTCACCAACACAATCCACCCCTCAGAATCTTTGAGGCATCCTCACCCCAAGCACAGCCATGGTCTCTACCAAGTTGAGTTTGTGTGTTTTGGAGTGGGACCTCCCTCATTACTCTGAATCAGAACTTGGAATCACCGTCACTAGGCAAAAACAACAAACTCTAGAGAAACTAGTGTTTTTGGATGGCACACGGGTAGCTCTCCCAGACCAGATTCATGCATTACTTCCATGTCTGCTCTGAATACCTACTTTGTGCCAGGTGTGGGATTACATACTGGGGAAAGAAAAAGGAGACCCTGGCCTTGCCTTCAAGACACTCAGGGCAATCCTGCTTTAACCTTGGCTGCAGGGCTGCATATTGGTAGCATGGAGAGATTCTGCTGAAGACATAGCAGGATGCCCCTTGCACCTCACAAATCAAAATATCTTGAAGGGTAGCTGAGACACTTGTGCTTTTTTAAACCTCCACAGGTTAATTCTGATTCATAAGCAGGGCTGTAAGCCACTGATCTCTAGATCAGTGCTGTCCAACAGAACATTCTGAGATAATGGAAGTATTCAATTTCTGTGTCATCCAATCAGTAGTCACTAGCCACATGTGGCTATTAAGCACTTGAAATGTGGACTGAGGAACTGAATTGTTTTCCTTAATTTTAATTACTTTGCACTAAAACAGCCACACATGGCTAGTGGCTACTGCATTGGTCTACAAAACTCTAGAGGACACCAAAGTATTTCAGTTTGGCTTTAGAATAATTCTCACAATGCTGTTTTGTAGCAGCTAAAGTCTCCAATCTCTTCCACTCAGGAAAAAAAAAAAAAAAAATCAATGGCCAGGCGCAGGGGCTCGCGCCTGTAATCCCAGCATTTTGGGAGGCCAAGGTGGGCAGATCACGAGGTCAGAAGATCGAGACCATCCTGGCCAACATGGTGAAACCCCATCTCTAATAAAAATACAAAAATTAGCTGGGTGTGGTGGCAGGCACCTGTAATTCCAGCTACTTGGGAGGCTGAAGCAGGAGAATCACTTGAACCTGGGAGTTGGAGGTTGCAGTGAGCCGAGATCATGCCACTACACTACAGCCTGGCAACAGAGCAAGACTCTGTATTAAAAAAAAAAAGAAAAGGAAAAGAAAAATGAACTTCCTTTCCCTAAGAACACTCTCATTTGCACTGAAGAAACTGCTCTAGAATGAACTGAGGGGTAAAGGCAAGTCTGGTGAGACTAAGTCTGATCAGCTCCCTAAGCCCCTAGACTAGCTTCTAATCTTCCAGACTGGAAAAGAGGCACTCCTAAGTGCCCTATTTTGATTGCAGTTGACGTTGGTTGGGGACAAAAACAGCAGTGACATGACTTTGTGTGTCTGTTATAGACTGAATTATGCTCCCCCCTCAAATTTGTACGTTGAAGTCCCAGTATGACTAGGGCCTTTAAAGAGGCACTTAAGGTTAAATCAGGTAATCAGAGGCTGGGCACAGTGGCTCATGCCTGTAATCCCAGTACTTTGGGAGGCTGAGGCGGGTGGATCACAAGGTAAGGAGTTCAAGACCAGCCTGGCCACATAGTAAAACCCTGTCTCTACTAAAAATACAAATAAATTAGTTGGGTGTGGTGGCAGGCACCTATAATCCCAGCTACTTGGGAGGCTGAGACAAGGAGAATCCCTTGAACCCAGGTGGCTGAGGTTGCAGTAAGCCGAGATTGTGCCACTCTACTCCAGCTCAGGCAACAGTGCAAGACTCCGTCTCAAAAAAAGAAAGAAATCAGATAATAAGGGTGGGGCCCTAATCCAGTATGACTGGTGTCCTTCTAAGAAGAGAGACACCAGAGAGGTGCATGCTCAGAAAAGGCTATGGGAGGACACAGCAAGAAGGCAGCTATCTGCAAGCTAAGGAGAGGCCTCAGGAAAGATCAAACGGTCTTGATCCTGGACCTATGGACTCCAGAACTGTGAAAAAAGAAATTGCTGTTGTATCAAGCCACCCAGTCTGTGGTAGTTTTGTTATGGCAGCCCTAGCAGCCTAATATAGCACCCTCAGGAAAAGGCAGGCCCAGGAGCTTAATCAGCCTCTCCAACAAGATGCACCCCAGGAACTGAGGGCAAAAGCCCCACTAGGACCCAGACCCAGCAGCCACTCTGCCATACCCAGACCTTCAAGTCATCCTGTTCACTACTGCTCAAGTGTCCCTGTGTACTCCCCAATCCTATCCCACTATCTCATCACCTAGAGACCACAACTCTAGGCTTTCACCCAGACCTGCCATGCCCCTAGATGCCCTCCCTATAGACTCATCCTCTCCCTTCCCCTCCCTTTCCCCACTGCACCCATGCTGCCTCCTACATGGTTTGCTCCTTCATCTCCATCTATGGGTTTTCACCTATTATTGAGTATTTTCAGTGTGTGTTCTGTGCATCTCACTTCCCCCACTACACTTTAAATTCTTTTTTTTTTTAAAGATGGGGTTTCACCATGATAGCCAGGCTGATCTTGGAACTCCTGACCTCAGGTGATCCACCCACCTCAGCCTCCCAAAGTGCTAGGATTACAGGAGTGAGCCACTGTGCCCGGCTACACTTTAAATTCTCAAAGATTATTCTAGCATTCACGGCCCTTCACAAGCTAGGTTCAATCTACCTCTTCATCTTTTTCTCCCAGCTGGGCCAAGCTACTTGTGTGTTGGTTAATATTGTCAACTTGATTAAATTAAATAATGCAAAGTTATTATTTCTGGATGTTTCCAGAAAAGATGAACATTTGAGTCAGTAGACTGGGAGAGAAAGACCCACCCACAATGTGGAAGGGCACCATCCAATTGGCTGCTAGGGCGGCTAGAAAAGGCAGGCAGAAAAAGGTGGGAGCAGCTGACTTGCTGAGTCTTCCAGCCCTTATCTTTCTCCCGTGCTGGATGCTTCCTGCCCACCACACTTCAGCTTTTGGACCCTTGGACTTACACCAGTAGTTTGCCAGGGGCTCTCGGGCCTTAGGACACAGACAGAAGGCTGCACTGTCAGCTTCCCTACTTTTGAGGATTTGGGACTCGGACTAAGCCACTACTGGCTTCCTTGCTCCTCAACTTGCAGAGGGCCTATCATGGGACTTCACTCTGTGATCATGTGAGTCAATTCTCCTTAATAAACCCTCTTTCACAGATACATGTATCCTATTAGTTCTGTCTCTCTAGACCCTGATACAACTTGTCACTCCTTGAACATATCAATGCTGTTCTCTAAGCTACCCAAAACTTTCCCAGTCTTAAGGCCACCTGAAATGCCACCTCCTCCAGAAAGCTTTCCTTGACTACCTCAGCTAAATATATAATGAAATGATGGCTTCTATCTCTGTGCAGGTATTCTGCAGTGCCTAATCCAGTGCTCTGCAATATGGGGCACTCACTATGCAGCAAAAGGGGAAGACATCTACAGCCTGTGAAGGTTCAAAACACTAATGCAATTCTGATGCTAACTACAGGGAGTTAGTGCATATCCCACAGGTTTAAGGCCATAGTCCCTAGCAATACTGCCCTCATTTCAGATGTCAGTTGCAAGCTCAAGGATCCCAAACCACCAGCACTTCTGAACAGCTGGCTATAAATTCAAGAGTTCCCACAACCCCCACCCCCCAACCCCCAGGGCCCGAGGTTGGAGAATTTGCTAGAATGGCTCCCAGAACTCAGGAAAACTCTGTACTATGATTAAAGTTCTATTACAAAAGATGCAAGTCAGAACCAGCCAAAGGAAAACAAATATATGGTATGGCCCAGGAGGGTCCCACACACAGATGTGTGCCCTCTGCTCAGAGAAACAGGACACTCCTACATATTCCTCAGCACATCCATGTGGTCACCAGCCAGGAAGCTGAGCAATACCTCAGTGTCAGAAGTTTTTATTAGGGTTTTACTGTAGGCATAGTTGATTAAAATCATGGGCATATGGCTGAACTCAGTCTCTAGCCCCTCTCCCCTCCCTGGGGATCAAGCTGATATCGTCCAGCTCAGAGTCCCAGCCCTGTAACTATATGGTTGGTCATTCTGGCATGGTCAGCCTCCATCCTCAGTCAAATCTTACTATAAACTTGGGTGCAGTCTGAGATCAAATTTCAATATAAAATAAGATGTGACCTAAGGTCAAATCTCAGGTGTAGTTACAGGGACCCTCCACAAAAACAAAAGATACTCCTATCACTTGGGAAATTCCAAGGATTAAGAGTCTCCTGTGGAACTGAAGACAAAGGCCAAATTCTTTACTATAAAATGAAGTAGGAGAGGATTTATACTAAAAATCTTACTAATTTGGAAGCTAGAAATAACCTGTGTCCCAGGAGACGGGAATTAGACCATGTGCCCTCATGAAGGTGGTCTCAGGACCTGCTCTGCTCCCAACTTGGTTCACTTTCCCAACCCTTACCAAAGGGGCATGCAATCAACCATTCAGCACAAAAAATGAACTGGATACCAGGTTCCCATCTGTCCCGTCGCCTGTTCCTCACAGTGCCCAGAGTATCATATAAGACCCCTAACAGACACCCTGCAGGTTTGGCAAGGCAGTTGAGATCTACTCCATCCGGCCAGCCACCAGCACTTTGGGAGCCAAGGCAGGTGTATCACTTGAAGTCAGGAGTTTAAGACCAGCCTGGTCAACATGGTGAAACCCTGTCTCTACTAAAAATACAAAAATTAGCCAGGCATGGTGGCAGTCGCCTGTAACCTCAGCTACTTGGGAGGCTGAGGCAGGAGAATCACTTGAACTCAGGAGGCAGATGTTGCAGTGAGCTGACATTTCACAACTGCATTGTAGCCTGGGCAACAGAATGATACTCCATCTCAGAAAAAAAGGAAAAGAAAAAGAAAAGAGAGAGATACAGATCTACTGCAGCCTTCCCCCAGCTACCTAAGAGAACCCTTTGCCAAGAATGAAGAGGTAAGAGGGAGGAAATGTAAACACCTTCCACCACTAGCATCCGAGGTGGGAACAAAGTAACAAGACAAAAGGCTTTAGGAGCTTTTAATGCTTAGAGTGAAAAAAAAAACACAGGCTAGGTTTTTCAGTCATTGATCCATCTCTGACAAGATGAGAACTTTACCCGCACCCTGGCCACAGGTGGAAGCCCAGACTCTCCCCTAGCAAGGTATCCAGAATGGAGAGGGGCTGCCACTGTAGTGCAGTGCAGTGAATCCCCAACCCAGAGGCAAGAAAGAGAGCACTGTGATGAGAACCCACAAGCCAGGCCCATGCAAGGCACTTTCAAGTGTTATCGCAATTAATCCTCACACCAACCCCAAAAGGTAGCATCCCCATTTTACAGATGAGGAGCCTGAGGCATGGAGAGGTTTCTCAATTTGTCCATCAAAAAGTTCACAAGTCTCAAAGCTGGGATGAAAATTCAGGTCTTCTGACTTTCACTCTGCCACACTGGATTTTTCCTCTGATCCAGCTGCAGCCTCCCATAAGAAGTTCACTCTTAATTTCATGTCTTGGTCCCTGTGAGGAAAGGGGTCAGCCAAAGCCAGCTGTTCTATAAGGATGGGTAGGTATCCTGGCAAGATATTTCCTCTGAAATAGTAAATGTGACCTTAAAAATTACTGTCTAGGGCACTCTCAGCTGAGTAGTCTCCCAAGGAAACAATGAGGTAGAGCAGTCTGCAAGTGCAAACATACACCTTCTGCAGATTCTCTACAAAGTGGGGTACCATGAAAGGGACAGTGTTCAAAGGTAAAGGAAGGAATCAGCTGGGCACAGTGGCTCACGCCTGTAATCCCATTACTTTGGGAGGCCAAGGCGGGTGGATCACAAGGTTAGAAGTTCAAGACCAGCCTGGTCAAGATGGTGAAACCCCATCTCTACTAAAAATACAAAAATTAGCAGGGCGGGGTGGTGGGCACCTGTAACCCCAACTGCTCGGGAGGCTGAAGCAGGAGAATCACTTGACCTGGGAGGCGGAGGTTGCAGTGAGCCGAGATTGAGCCACTGCACTCCAGCCTGGGCGACAGAGCAAAACTCTGTCTCAAAAAAAGAAAGCAGGAATCAGGAGGGCAAACCAGGGTAGTGTCAAAACTGCCACGGCAGGTTGGAAGACAGTTCAACATATCAAAGACTACGTTTCCCAGCAACCAGGGAGCACAGGAGGACCTTTCGCTCCAGTCTAGGAGATGTGTTGTCATCTGTTTGCCCAAGAATGACTTTGAGGTCTTGAATGTGTCTGATGCCAGGCCCCAGGGGTGCTCATTTCGACAGCAGTGGCAGCAGCCCCAACTCATTCAGTCTTTCCTTGGCCACTGCCTCCCAGCCCTTGTTGGCCTGTGGATTACGGGGAGAGGGATGCAGGAGCCCTTCCACCTGGACCTCTGGCATCAGGCCTGCCAGAGCCCGTCGTGCCCGCTGCTCTGCGAGTCGCCCAACTCCCACCACCAGCCGCACCCCCAGCAGCTGCACCTGCCGGCAGAGGGCTGCATCACAGATCCCAAGAAGCTGTTCTCGCTGCTTGGCAGGCAGCTCAGCAGGGGTGAGGTTGCGCCCACTGGGAGCCAGGAAAAGCAGAGGGCATAGATTGTGGACAAAGCAGTGATGGAAGAAGATGTCAGGCTGTCCACAGAGGTTCTGGAAAAAGCCCCAGAATCGGGCACCACTCACTTCTGACTGTGGGCACTCCAGTCCCAGCACTGGTCGCTTAGGGTGCTCTTGGGGAGGGGTCAGCACAGTCCCCCCAATGCCCAACCAGTCCCGGACCATGCTCACTTCTCCAAAGGGAACCTGTGAGGAAGGAAAGACACATGAAGGGCTTCAAAATGGAGACCTGATGCCTGGGCTCTGGACCAACTGACTTCTTTATACCTTCCATGAGAATCCAGCCTGCACCTCCAACCCCCACCTTCACCCAAAGGCCTGAGACAAGGATTCTTCACCCTACGGTTTGAGCCTGTCCATCCTTGTCCATCTTTTTCCAGTTTTTCATTGTGGACTATGGTCCAGAAGAATCTATTTGCGTCTACCCCAACTAGCCTTTGGGACCAAATACAGGGAGTACTTTCAGATAGCTAGCCCTAGGTTTGATGGTTAGTACTGGGGACAGACAGATGGTCTGAGACAAAAAGGCAGCCAGGGTTAAAGAAGGCACAAGGATGGGCTGATCACTGCTCTCTGGGTGCCCTCCCAGCCCCAAGCCTCAGGCCGTCATTTCCATCGATCATCATTGAGCACCTTTCATCACCCAGCTGGAGTCAATAAAAGCGATTGAGCCTCCTGCCCTGAAGCCTCTTCCCCTCCCCCACCTGCCAAGCACCCCCACTGAGGGGCAGTCACTCATCCTGAGCTCTGAAAGGAAAGCAGGCAGGCACTGGAGGCTGGCTCCGTTTTGAACCTCACCTTAGCTAAGAAACAGAACCCAGGTTCCCAGAATGCCCTGCTTCTCTTACATACCCACCCCTATCAACCAGTCTCTTCTGAGGACCCCACAGTCCTAGTCCCTCTTCTGACCCCAACCATAGTTCAGGGACAGGGGAGATCTGGTAAAGTAGGGATGGGCTGGCAGAAGGAAGGGCTCTCAGAGGCAATTAGTGGACAGCTTACAGGGAAAACAAAACTATCATTAATGTGCTTGGTTAATTACAGGCAGAGACACTGGGAGAGGGCATGAGACCACAGGAGCTAGTATGTGTGTTGAGAAAGAATGGGGCGGGGGGACCAACACATGTCTACACCCATGCACATGCTCCTTCTCCACAGCATACCCAGCCAAGCAGCCAGCTAGAGCCTCCCACTCCACCCATTGGGGAAGCCAAATCCTTTACCCCAGTCTGGGCCATGCCAAAAGGTCCAGGGTTCATGCCCAGGAAGAGCACTTCCTTAGGGCCCCGGCAGTAGCGAGTCACGTAGTTGCGATGTGGCTCCCACGCATACTCCACGGGATTATAGATGATGCCCACAGGCTCCGAAAACTGCAGTTGACTCAGCTCAGCATTGAGCCGAAGCTCCTCCTCCAGGAAGCTCTCAGCCAAGCTTCCAGGGCTGGGCTGAGGCTCCATCAGGGCACCTACAGGCTCATGGGTGGACCCCAGCAGGAAAGCGTGGGGCATATGGCCATGCCACTGTCACCTGGGAAAAGAGATGGACAGAGGCCTCATCATCCCTCAGCCACAGAGTGGAAGGAGGGATCCATGCTGGCCAGGGCCCCCACTACCATTTCCTAGGCTCAGAAAGGACCCTAAGAGACCACGTCAGTCATCTACCAAACACCAAGTAGGACTAGGCACACCTCAATTCTTGGTAATGAAGGGCCCTTTCCATCCCCACTTCCAATATCCTTTCTCTTCATATGGCACCTGGTAAGGATAAGCCATAGCCACCAAACATCTCCCACTCCAAACCAAAGCTACTTTCCATCAGGCATAATTCCTGGGCTGTGCCAAGCACACAGTAGGTTTCCTTTTCTTTTTTTTTGAGATGGAGTTTCGCTCTTGTTGCCCAGGCTGGAGTGCCATGGTGCCATCTCAGCTCACCACAATCTGCTTCCCAGGTTCAAGCGATTCTCCTGCCTCAGCCTCCCGAGTAGCGGGGGATTACAGGCATGTGCCACCACATTAGTTTTGTATTTTTTAATAGAGACGGGGTTTCTCCATGTTGGTCAAGCTGGTCTCAAACTCCCAACCTCAAGTGATCCGCCCTCCTCGGCCTCCCAAAGTGCTGGGATTACAGGCATGAGCCACCGTGCCCAGCCACTGTAGGTTTTCAGTAAACATTTACCGGTGGCTTCCTTTCAGCACTTTTAATGTCTCCTAAAAAAGAAAAGCCCAGCCAGAATAGACTGTGTCCTGGAAAGCACGGTGTGGAAGAACGAAATATAAGTGCACAGTCACAGCCCAGAGACCTGGGAAGGCTAATTACAATAGCTTCCAGGTGGTGAGCGACTACTCTGCGCCAGGTGCACCTCATTGATCCTCACAACAACCCCATGAGGTGGGTATTACTGCTCCCATATTATAAGTGAGGACACTGAAGCTTAGCAAGATGAAGCAACTTGCCCAAGGTCTTGCCGTTAGCAAATAATAAAGCTTGGATTTGATTGAACCATCTCTCTGGCTCAGGCTATGCTTTAACCACCCACACCATCATCCCTTAGATGGTCTGATCAGCCACCCTGCTAATTCCACAACCCCCTAACCCTAGCCTAGCTTCTTTCCCACACTCAGGAATAGTGAGGAGGATGATTACAGACTTTTTTTTTTTTTTTTTTGAGACAAGAGTTTCGCTCTTATTACCCAGGCTGAAGTGCAATGGCGCAATCTCAGCTCACCGCAACCTCCGCCTCCTGGGTTCAAACAATTCTCCTACCTCAGCCTCCCAAGTAGCTGGGACTACAGCATGCGCCACCATGCCCAGCTAAGTTTTTGTATTTTTAGTAGAGACGGGGTTTCACCATGTTGACCAGGATGGTCTTGATTTTTGACCTAGTGATCCATCCGCCTCGGCCTCCCAAAGTGCTGGGATTATAGGCATGAGCCACCGTGCCCGGCTGATTACAGACTCTTAATAGAATCTTACAAGCTACACACATGGCCAGAGCCTCAGGTTCCCTCTTTCAAATACAAAGAATAATAATATTCACTTAATAATGTTGACATAAGGATGGAATGAGATGTGTAGGTGAAGAGAGAAAAGGAAGAAATGGGAGAGGAAGAAGAAAGGCAAGAGAGAAGGGAGGTGGGAGAAAGGAGAGGGGAGGGAGAGGAACATGACAGCAAGCTTTGTAAACTGCAAAGGCCATCCCTTCACTGCACTCCCATTTGAACCCAGTGTTCCAACCTGACCATTCTACTCACATTTTCAAAATGCCTTTCCTACCTCAACTCCCAAAACTTTGCACATACCATTTCTACAATCCAACCAAATATACTCCTCAAGTCAACCGGGACATCATCTAACAGTCATCTAGTCAACCAGAACTGTGATTCCCCCACCTGTCCCCACATCCAAATCACTCCCATCCTTCAAAATGCAGCTCAAACCATCCCTTTGATAAAGTCTTCCCTCCTCAGAACACTGCAGCATTTGCCATAGTGTCCCAACCCCACCCCCAACACAAGTAGGTCTGGTGTGAGGCCTGGGAATCTGTATTTTAAACACACTTCCCAGGGTGATTCTGATGGTTGGAGAAGGCTGAGAACTACTGTGTGTCGCCATAGTTAGCATCATCTTGATGAATTCATTTTGCCTCCCCAGCTAAATTGGGCAGATCAAGAGCCAGGCTCTGATCAATCTCCCTCCATAAGCCCAAGGTCTTGGCCCTTATTAGGTAGGTACACAACAAACACCTGCTCAGCAATGTCCATTTCTTTTTCACTTTTGTTTAGAAGTACCCTCTGAGCTAGGCGCAATGGCTCATGCCTATAATCCCAGCACTTTGGGAGGCCGAGGCAGAAGTGCTTGAAGCCAGGAGTTCAAGACCAGCCTGGCTGACAAAGTGAGACCCCACCTCTAAAAAATAAAGATTAAAAAAACCACCTTTTGGCCGGGCGCGGTGGCTCATGCCTATAATCCCAGCACTTTGGGAGGCCAAGGCAGGTGGATCACTAGGTCAAAAGATTGAGACCATCTTGGTCAACAAGGTGAAACCCCGTCTCTACTAAAAATACAAAAATTAGCTGGGCATGGTGGCGCACGCCTGTAGTCCCAGCTACTCGGGAGGCTGAGGCAGGAGAATTGCTTGAACCCAGGAGGCAGAGGTTGCAGTGAGCCAAGATCGTGTCACAGCACTCCAGCCTGGGTAACAAGAGTGAAACTTCGTCTCAAAAAAAAACACCTTTAAAGAGCCACTCCTGATGGATCCTTCTCCACTTCTATTTCCTGAGTTCACTCAAAGCTCAGCTGCCCTCTTTGCACTCTGCTTGTTTTCCAGGCTCTGGTGTGGCCATCACATCTGGGTCTCCCATGTGACTAGTACCATTGTCATTCCTTCCTCTCAACTTTCTGCCTGGGTCAGGAGTGACCTCTTCCTCCAGAAGAGAGCTCAAGGTTGACACAACAGCTTGATCAACCTATTTTTCTCACCCTAGCCTTGGGGAAGTGGGAGAGAAAAAAAATCAGAGGCCAAACTTAGGAAGTCCTTCCCTAACTGATCTCAGTAGTGTTAACTGATCTGTCCAGGTGGCTACCCAGGACAAACTGGGCTCACACAAAAGCTGAGAAAGGAGCTGTGGAGAACAACAGTGTTTCAGAGGACCTTGCTTTGCATCTCCCATGCAGCACCAACATTGGCAGATTGGCTGTTCCAACTCTAGAATCTCAAGAGAAGTCTTGAGCCTACCTTTGGCATTTCCAGACCTGTGTTGGAGACTGCAAGGCCAGGGAATACACAAAAGAGTGACAAAACCTTATTTTCATTGTCCCATAATTTCAAAGCCTGATCTCATAGCAACAGCCACAGGCTAGAAGTCAATTGACTTGAACTCCACTCTTGTTTCATCTCTAAGAAGATTCTCTTGGGCAACTCATTTAACTCTCTCCTCTATGTAAATCACATATTCCATCTAACCTACCACCAGCTGTTAACTCATTTATTTTTTTCAATACTTATGAGTGTCTTACATGACAAGCACTGCAGCAGTCTCTTGGTGAGGAAGAAATCCAAAATGAGTAAAATGTAGACCAGGCTTTTTGTAAGCTCATAAACTGCTGTGAAAGGGCAGACAAACTAACTATAATACAGTGTGATGTGAGCTTTAATACAACACTAGGAGAACCCAAAGGAGGAACATGTCAGTTCTACCCAAAGTAGCCCCAAGAGCCAGAGGCTTAAGAAATGTAGATATTGCCGGGCGTGGTGGCTCACGCCTGTAATCCCAGCACTTTGGGAGGCTGAGACAGGCGGATCACGAGGTCAAGAGAGCAAGACCATCCTGGCCAACATGATGAAATTCCGTTTCTACCAAAAATACAAAAAATTCACTGGGAGTGGTGGTGCATGCCTGTAGTCCCAGGTATTCGGGAGGCTGAGGCAGAATTGCTTGAAACCAGAAAACAGAAGTCGCAGTGAGCCAGCATCGCGCCACTGCACTCCAGCCTGGCGACGGAGCAAGAAAGACTCCATCTCAAAATAATAAATAAATAAAAAGATTATTTTACAAAATATGGTATCATATGACATTAAGCGCAAAGGCAGTGTAGTTTGACTCATCGATAACCCTGGCCACCAAGGCCAGACTTCAGGCTGATGTCAGACTTCTCTGACATCAAATCCAGGAAGTCAGGAATGATCTGAAGACACACGATGCACTTCCCTGTCCCCTGGAGGCACTTTGGGAGTCCAAGGGACAATAAGAAATATCCTTAAACTAAATAACATAATAATTATAATAAGGCATAGGCCAGGCGCGGTGGCTCACGCCTGTAATCCCAGCACTTTGGGAGGCCGAGGCAGGCGGATCACTTGAGGTCAGGAACTCAAAACCAGCCTGGCCAACTTGGTGAAACCCAGTCTCTACTAAAAATACAAAAATTTTCCGGGCGTGGAGGCGCGCACCTGTAATCCCAGCTACTCAGTAGGCTGAGGCAGGAGAATCGCTTGAACCCGGGAGGCGGGGAAACCCGGGAACCGAGATCGCACTATTGCACTCCAGCCTGGGCGACAGAACAGATTCCATCTCAAAAATAAATAAATAAATAAATAAGCATAAACTCAAAAAGACCATTTCATCTGGTTCCGAAGGGACCAACGACTACTAAGACACCATACAAAACCTCCGCCGGCGCCCTCCGCTGTCTCCAGCCAACTGGAAAGCCTCGATCCTGCAGACCTCCCAGGCAGTTCCATAAGCTGGGCTCTCCCTGCACTGAGTCTAACCCCACACGACGAGAAAGACCCCAAAACCCAGACATTCTGACTACTCTCTCGGCTCAGTCTCGATGACCCTGGGAGCCCTGAACCTGCCTCTACAAACCCAGATTCCCAGCCTCCTACTTCCTCACCTGGTCCAGCTCCCCATCCTGTTTCCGGTTCCTTTCCCCCAACCCAACCCCGGCGCTAAGGACAGTGGGAGTCGTAGTCTACATTGTTTAGGGAAGGGATTGGAGTACCCGCAGCCACTTCCGCCGGAAATGCTCAAATCCCGGAAAACGCCCTAAATCAGCTCTAAATATCGCTGGGAATTGTAGTTTATTCTTTACGTCAGCGTTAAGAAGTGCTGAGAAGCGAGAGGCCAGAGTCTATAAGGACCTGGAAAATCCTGGGTTCTATTCCTAAGGGGATTAGAACCTTCCAAAAGTTCATTCACATTTTTCCCAAAGAGATTGCAAATCAGGAAGTTTCAACCATCCCCAACCCCTCACCCACCTGAGTGTGTTAATAATAGCTAAAGATCATTTGGAGGTCCTCTGCTGCCCTGGTTATGAGACCTCTCCTTTGCAGCCCGCCATTACTGTATATAGAACATCCATGAAGGCATTTCTGCTAGCTCCTAACAACTCTTTAGCAAGGAGCATCCCCCATTACTGTCCAAGCCCATCTCAAGAGCGTCACCATTTTGACTTCTTCCTCTGCCTTGCTATCTGCCCAGCCCTATAACGTCAGTATTAGAGTTTTCCAAAGAAACAACAGGATATCTATCTATCAACATGAGGAGATTTATTGCAAGAATTGACTCACAGGATTGTGGAGGCCCAGAAGTCTCACAGTCTCCTCCTCTGAAGTCTATAAACTGGAGAACCAGGAAGACAAGTGGTATAATTCAGGCAAGTCCAAAGCAGGGGAGGGAGCTCACTGCTAAATCCCAGAGCCTGAAGGACCAAGAACCAGGAACTCCAATAATGTCCAAAGGCAGGTATGTCTCAGCTCACGAAGAAAGAGAATTTGCCTTCCTTCACCCTTTTGTTCTACTGGACCCCCAAGGGGTTGGATGGTGCCCACCCACATTAATGAGGGCGACCTTCTTAACTCAGTCTACCAATTCAAATGTGAATCTCTTCCGGAAACACTCTCACAGACATATTCAGAAATAATGTTTTACCAGCTATCTGCGTGTCCCTTAGCCCACTCAAGTAGACACATGAAGTTAGCCAGCACTCATCCTTCCAAATCTTCTTCCTCAAATAGTTTGTCCAGGAACCCTTCCCCGATCAATCCTAATCCCATGGTTGCACCTAACAGTCCATTTCCCCCAACTCCTGGATCCCAATATCTATGTCCAAAGCTGTCCTATTCCTAGTTTTGTTCTTGTCTATCTGGATCTGGTTCTGTGTTCTGACTCTAAAACTTTCATTAGACTGGGAAGCCCCTAAGGCTAGTTATCTTCTATATTCCTCCCACCCCACCTGAGCACAGCCAAGGCTCTAATCACAGAGGCAAGGTCTCCCTGTGAGTGGTAGAGAAGGAGGCCTGTAAACCCCAGAACAGGAAGAAGTGAGAGAACAAGGATGCGAGCCCCTTCCCAAGACTTCTCTGATCTCCTATCAACAAAAACGTAATGGATGCAGTAGGAGCTTCAGGGAGCTGTGAGCAGTGACCTTCTGACATCCGTAGTGAGAAACTACCCTGACCCTTGCAAGATTTTGGAAACGGAATTAATCATCTACCTCATGAAGCCCATAATTTCCTGAGCTTTAATTTTTACCAGACCCTCTCCCTCTCTGTGTCTCTCTCTCTGCCTGTGTAATTTGCCCCTCTCTGCGTATGTAAACTTATCTCTATCTCTAGTCTCTTGTGTAGCTTTCTCTCTGTATCTGTGTGTCTCTGTCTCCCTCTGTGTACATCTCCCTGTTTCTGCTTCTTGCCCTAGAATGACTGGAATAAGAGGATCTGAGCTTCTAGAACAAGTTCCCCCATCTCTGTGTATTATGCATTTCTGTGTTTCTGATCAAAAATAAGGTGGGTGAACTCTTTGTGGTGTCATCTCAGTGCTTAAAAAATTCTAGGATCTCCACCATCCCTTGGGCAACCCTCCTGCCCACCCCAGACCCCTCTGTCACTTGCCTGCCCAGCACTTCTAGTTCTAGTTTGCCATCTTGGCATCCCCTCCACATTCAAAGTCGCTTTCTGGCAGAACAGTAATGAGTGAAATGAGTAACAGGCAAGCAGAGATTCCCCCAGGACCTCCACCTCCCCACCCCCAATTTCATCTTCCTAGAAGAATTAAATAACTGTTTCTGTGCCTATAAGCCCATCCATCCCAGGGAACCCAGAGATAGGAAGTCCAGATATAAGGAGAAATGGAGGCTTAGGCAGCCACAGTGAGTCCCTACAGCTGATGCCAGAGGGGCCTAGGGCCTTCTCTGTCTGTAGTCCGTGCTATTCCTCCCCACCCAGAGAGTCACTCCCAGGAAAGATGGAGGTGAGGAGCTCTCCGGATGCAGGGGTGCTTAGAAACAGAGACCCTGAGGCTTTCAAGAGATGGAGCCCAAGAGATGGAACACGGGCTTGGGTGCAGCCCTCCCACCCAGTCTCATCCACTTCTTAGTCTTCTTGTCTTCTGGGAAGTCATCAAGAGGCTGCTGACCGTGATTTACGGGTAGAGCCTTGTGGGACAGGAACAGAAGTTGACCCAGGTTATGGCCTGGGTAAGAGCCTAGAGAGTTGAGTCACCTGGCCTGGGGCGGGGGGCCCAGCCTACCCACCAGCCAGCTCCTCTGCCCTGAGCCCAGGTGGGAAGGGGTTAACCTGCTCACTTGCTTTCCTTTGGTTTCCTTGGGATACTGGAGCTGTGTTGGGCCATGAGCGCCATCTATCGGCCTCTTCATGTCCTAGCTCTGACTTTCAGCTCACTTGGGCTTCTAGGCGGATCTTTCTGCCTTCGCCTTGCCTCCTCGCTTGTCACCGGGAAGGGCTGTCTAGCTGCAGAGCTTCCCACTGCAGAAAACAAAGGTCCATGTTTCCCCTTTCCTAGATACCAAATGTCACGCTGCTCAGCTCCCACTCACTGCCTCTGGCCTGGGGAGCCCCAAAAGGGTTTCTGGGGTTTAACTTTCAATGTAGCCACCTTCCCCACTTCCACTACACTAGGCCCTGTCTCGGTTAGCCCAACAAACATGAAAAGAGCACAGGAGAGTGAAGGCAGCAGAGCAGAGGTCTCAGGACTGTGGGCTCTGGAATTAGACTGCTGGATTTGAATCCAAGCTCAGCCACTTACTAGTGGTGACCTTAGGCATGCTATTTAATTTCTCTGTGCCTCAGTTATCTCAGCTGTAAAATGGGATCATCACTGTAATCTGTATCTTCTTTTTTTTTTTTTTTAATAGAGACAAGATTTTGCGATGTTGGCCAGGCTGATCTGGAACTCCTGACCTCAGGTGATCCACCCACCTCGGCCTCCCAAAGTGCTATGATTACAGGTGTGAGCCTCCACGCCCGGCCTGTAATCTCTATTTTCTTTTGTGATAATTAAGTAACTTAATTACATAAGGTGCTTAATACAGACTTTGGACTCCACAAAAGGTAGTTGTTGCTGTTGAGGTTTTGGCCATGGCCAAGGTCTCAGGCAGATGCTAATCTGAGTACTCAAGATCCAGGCCATGAAGCCACATCAGACACACAGGCATGAGGGACAAGACTGGGGAGCTCACCCTACAGATTTCCACAAAGACAGTGACCTGCATGCAGGGTTAGGTTTGGGGACTGGAAGTTCAGGATTGCAAGGAAAGTAATTCTTCAGGTCTCCAAGGTCAGCAGGAGATGGGATAAGGAGGTCACTGAAAGAGCCTGAAGTAAAGATGTAGGAAGGAAATGCATTAAGGAAGAAGCATTAACAGGCCCTTTAAAGTGCCCTGGTTTGGGGAAGGGGAATGGGCTTCTTGATGTGTGAGTTAAGCAAGAGCCACTGCGTCCCAAGGACAAGTCAAATCAGATTCCCCAAGCCTCCCCATCCCATCTGTGGGGATTTAACACTCCATGTCTTTTCCTCAGCCTGGCAAGGAGGGGGACTCACAAGTAGAGAAAGCTACCTGCGATCTCACTCTGGAGTGCAGTGGCGTGATCACGGCTCACTGCACTCTCGACCTCCCAGGCTCAAGCAATCCTCCCCACTCAGCCTCTCCAGTCGCTGGGACTACAGGTGCGCACCACCACACCCAGCTAATTTTTAAAATTTTTTGTGGGGACAAGATCTCACTATGTTGTTCAGGCTGGTCTGGAACTGCTGGGCTCAAGTGATCCTCCCACCTCAGCCTCCCAAAATGTTGGGATGACAGGTGTGAGCCACTGCATCTGCCTGATTGATTTCTCAGCAGGTTCAGCCATCTCCCTGTCTCTGTATCTTCTGTATCTCTGCCTTTATCTACCTTACAGGGAAATGGGATTATTCTCCAAGGGGTGAGAATAAGGTGACAAAGCGACACCCTCTCAGTTAAGACAA